TTTATGTTGAAAAAGTTTGCTTGCTAGAGGACCTCTGCTTCCCACAAAGAATAGCAGGACCTAAAGTAGCTCACAGAAGCTATTGTGGTCAATTTTATGATAGCCCAAGAAAGCAAAAATTCCCAGGGACAATCATCGGTTTCTGATACTTGAAGGTAAACTTACAGTGCACAAGCACTTCACTAGTCCTCTGGACCATAAGGCCTCCTAAGATGATGTTGCAAAGCCTTAAAAGAGCTGTGGTTGCAGAACTAGAATAAGATGCCTTTAAAGACCATATGGAAGGCCTGCTCAAAGACTTAAGACAAGACATTCAACCTAATATAAAAATACTTATCTTATAATTAACAAACTAATTACTGATATGTATGAATCCACAGATAAATTAGAAACATGTCATCACCTATTGATTATGTGTAAGTCATGCAAGAAAAGCTAGAAACTGAGGACTGCTCAAGGTGGAAAAACATCCAAATTGATGATATCCAAGAATCGGCCATGGGTGTGGACCTACTGATCCTAATAATATTAATTATCCATGCTGAAGGCCCAATGCTCAATGTTTTATCTATCCAAATCGACTTGGTCCATGGCTTGCCGTGTGCAAGGTTCTTGTCTACTTTGGTTTAACCAAACACTATTTACATACCTATTTTATATAGGTAGTTTAATCTAATGTATACACCATGAATCAATGAAAGGTAGTTCTGACCAAGATTCTGAAAAATCACTAATCACGAACAGCACCACACGGGTCATCATTGACCCTGAATTGGTGTTTAAGACCTTGAAGCATTGGGACATTTTCACTTCAGAGATCACCATCCATCCATCCCAGCAAACTTAACAATACCAGTGTTAGCCAGGGAATGGATCTCAATTGTTTCTAAAACTCGACATACAGAGATCTTGTGACCTCAAAGGTGCCATCACACTCCCTCTACTTTCCTTAAGGATCTTCACATTTTACAAAGGTACTATTTGCTCCTTCTCCATGTGCATTTACATTCTAGCCACCCAGTTTCTGTTGTTCCTACTATAGATTTCTCAATAGTGAAACTAATCATCTGTGATCTGGTACAGAGATCTTCATCTGGCCTACTGCCTCTGTTTCTCTGTTGCGTTGGTGAGGTATTCACCACAGAAGTGTTTGACTGCATGGTGTCTGATTCCAAATAGTGGAGGGGATTCTATGCGGATATGTAATACCTCTGGAATCACAGTAGTTTTTCCTGTGTCTTTGACCATCTAGGATTACAGTGTTTTTTGCTGTGTCATTGACTGCCCTGTAGTTTTAATGTAATATAGCTCTCAATCCCCCAAACATGAGCCAAGACTTCACGAAGGGGTAAAATAAATTGTTTAATGCATGCCACAGGCTGGCCTTTTATGACAATTCCCCATGCAAGGGGTACACCCCCTGGACCTTGTGGGGCACAGGGTGACAAAGTTGTTACACCAGTCAACATGTTTTTACAGTTTTACAACACTACCCTTTTACAGTTGAAAACTCCATCTTATGTGCTTGGGAAGATAGTTGAATCAAGAGCTGAGCCTATCTAACTCACTCATCTCCCAGCACAAAAAGTAAATTTTTTTTTATTTTTTTTTTTATTTTTTTTTAATAGTAAGCCGAAAGTACCCTTAAACAACATGGCAACCTGTTATGTCACAAGAGGTTTTAAATTTGGAACTCAACTGCAGCTTGAAAACTCCTTAATTACAATAGCAAAAAGGAAGAAATCCTTTAAATTAATAAGGTTACTGTAGCTTTAAAGCAAGATGAAGGTTTCAGGCAATTAGTGGAAAAGGAAAAGCTTTAATGATTGCAATAATATTTTAGTAAATGCAGGTAATAGCAAGCAAGTAGAAGTTCATTAATAAGTAAACCTTCAGAGAAAAAAGTAAATTGTATACTTACGATTGATGGAGTTGTCCTCCTTGGAAATGAATAGATTGAGTCCAAAGGATGATTGACATAAACAGTCCAGTTTCCAGGAGACAAGTAGAGATCCGGTAAATCCAATAAAGTCCTTGGTCAGAGGGCAATGAGAAGGCAAAAAGTCCTTTGTAACAATCCAAGGTTCGGTATACTTTAGGAACGAAGAGAAGCTTAGCCGGCATTGAACACGAAAGTAACATCCGAGAATCACCAAGCACTTTGAATCTGGCGAGGTCTCTCTATAAAGCGTGAGAAAGCCGAGTCAGAAAAGGGGGCGGAGCCGGTTCCGCAACCGGAAACGCCGGAACAAATACGGCCTGTGGCGCACAAAACTAGCACCTTGCATGGGTATACAAACCTATTACTCAGAAGAAAACTACCTTCAAATAATTTTTGTAAGCGTAAATAATATAGTAAAGAAGGAAAACGGAATAGAAAATGGCACTTTTTGCATGATGACTAAATTAGCATTTAGCACGTAGCATGATAGTTTTGGAATGCACTTTATATGACAAATAAGTTATCACTCATAATAATTTAAAGAAAAAGGGGCAAAAAAAAAGTTGATTATGGGAAATATTGGTGAGAGAACATGAGGGACTTTATGCTTTAGAAGAAGTTATTGTAAAATAAGTAATTGTAAAAGGAAGGGAGGGGGCATTTGGTTAATAAATAGGCCCTTAACACATTTAAATTTAGTACTTAAAATGCACTTTATATGGTTTAGAATTTATCACACAAAATTGAAAGAAGGAAATAGAAAGTCTATTATAGGAAATATTGGTGGGATGCATGAGGGATTTTACTTAAAGCCACAAAAGGGGAAAATTAAATATTTTTTTTTGAAAAGTTAAGGCATTTGAAGTGTTTTTTTTTTTTGTTTTTTTTTTTATTCATTTTTTTTTTTTTTGGGAGAGGTAGATTAGGAAGGAACATTGAATGCATTAGACATCACCTCTTACCCTGATCCTGTCGGCAACTGTGATCTAGTCTAGATAGAAATATAGGCTAGGATTCTGTCTATTTAAACATTGTCTTAAGACAGTAAAGGTGAATGTAAGATTGTCTGTTGTGTGTATGTCTTATCCCAGTTTTGTGAGGCGTTGGCAGGGGGGACTTCATTAAAAGTCTTTTCAATCAATACACAGGGTCTCAATACACCTAAATTAAAGAGGCTATTTTTTTTATAAAAAAGATAACTTTACTAAAAGGATGCAAATACATAAAGTATAAAATATAATTAACAATGTGAAGAATAAAATATAGGCAAATTGTTCAGCTAAAAAGCATTATACAGTTATATCAACATTAGGCCCCCCCTGGTTGTAGGGTTCTAGGTTTGTTTATCTAGAGAGTTTCTATTTGTGCTGATTTTTACATTATATCTCCACCCTCCAGAGGGTTTTTACTTTTTCTAAAGCTATATAATAGATTTCCGATTAAACATTGGACAATTATTACAATGAATGGGGACTAAATGTTTTTTGTAATTATTTTTGATATTGTTTTTATGTTCTAATATTCTCTCTTTTAAATTCCTTCATGTCCTACCCACATAATGTATGCCATAAGGACATTGCAGCAAATAGATGACAATTTTTTTAAATTTTATTTTTACTTTATTTTGTATTTTTCAATTCGCAATTATATATAGTGGATAAAATGTTAACAGTAAAGAGTAATTATTGAGTGCCAAGACATGGCTTCATTTATTACATCTTTGGTTTTAACAAAACATTTAGAAGGTACTTGTCTTAAACAATTGAATACAGTAGCCCGTGCAGTAAGTCATAGTTGAAACGTAGATGAGACTAGGTGGCGGATGGCCATGAGCTGCCCTGGGACTTGTATTATGTGTAACCTGTATTCGTCTATTTGCTAAATGTCTATGCAGTAAGGGAATGCATTTGTGTAAAATAGCTAAGTTCTATGTGTAAAATGTATTGGATTCGTCTGAATGTTAGGTAGTTTCATTCCCTTAGTTTTTTCGAATGAAACTACCGAACAGTCAGACCTCCCCTGTGTGAAGTGTGCCTTCAATTACCCGTTGCAACATTGTTGCGAACAGGTAATTGACAAGCTGTGTAGCAATCCTTTGTTCTCAGGGGTGGCCGCCATTCGAGAAACGAACACGTGGCGGCGGCCATCTTAACCTCCCGAACAGCAGTGTTTTGCCGTCGAGTGTCTGGAACTCAAAACGGACACTTGACTAGGCGAACACCACTGAGACCTCCATCAGCCTGGTCCATTTGGTTCCAAACTACCGAACGGCCCCTCGTTCGGTAGGCATAATCAACCGAACGAGGGGATTCAGGCGAACCCTCCCAAGCCTCTATAGCTGGAGGCTTTCAGGTAATTCATTCGCCTTTTCTTGGACCGACCGCAGGGCCCAATCGCATGGAGCCCAATTCAGCTAGTTCATCCAGCACGGTCGGTCATTTTATTCCCTCCAGGAAATTCCCGAACCCCTGGTCTGATCTGGGTGATTTTTGGATATTTTGTTCACCCAGATCAGGGCTACCAGGGGATGTATAATTTAAAGTGGTACCCCTAGGTTTAGGGGTACATCCAGAAACGGGGGGAATTGCTGTACTGGATAAGGGGATTATGATGCTGGCTGAGGGGAGGAGATGTGTGGGAGGTTACCAGGACAGGATTGGCTAATGTATTAATGAATGTAATCCCTCCCTTGCATGGGAGCATGCTTTAAAAGGAGACTGTGGATTAAAGTTTTCAGTTCTGCTCCTGAAACTGTGTGTCGTCCAGTTATTGGGATTGCTGTGGGGATATTGCTGTATTTTACCTGCTGGAAACCTTGCCTGTGGATTTACTATTTACTTCTTCCTGAGCCTCACTTGGATTATAAGCGGAGATATTCTGGGGAATATTGCATCTCCGCTACATTAGACTTTTGGACACGGCCCTAAGCTGGATTGTTACTCCGACTATTATCAGTATTATTGTAATGGCTACCCTGGTATGGTGAGGGTATCAGCCGTTGGGGACATCCTTTTCTTCCCGGCAAGTGTAGTGCCTATTCCCTTCTGCTGGATCAGGAGTAGAAGTCAAGTGCAGCTCTGAAAAGAGCGGAGTGATTATGCTGCAGAGATTCGCCTTTCAAGAACGAGACGAGGCTATGTTTTGAAGGGTCAAGAAGAACTAAGGATTTATTGACAGACACGCTCTTTTATGTGATTCTGCCCATGCAAGGGAGACACCCACATAATTAACAGTATAACCAATCAAGACAATATACATTCTGTACATCTCCTCCCCTTAGATAACTAAATAACATAATTAAAAAGGAACATATTTTCCCCAAAGTTTGGATGTACCCCAGATAGCTTGTTTCTGGGGGACTAACATATTTAAAAATCAGCCCATTCGGTTCAGCCGTTCTGAAGATATGGGACTTGAAAGTTTTGACCGACGGCACGGGCAGAGTAGCCGAAAACAGTTCCATGAATGCTGGCCCTGCAGTCGGTCTTAGATCGTGTGTAAAAACTCCCGAACGGCTGGCCATCCGTATGCCATCCAGGGTTCGCTTAAATCCCCATCCGTTGCTGAGTCTTTCTACCGAATGCCTTGTCGTTTGGTAGTTTTGGCGTGTCTCTCCTCAGGTATGGAGGTCTCAGCGGTGTTCGCCTATTTGAGTGTCCGATTTTATTTCCAGACACTCGACGGCAAACACCGCTGTTCGGGAGTTAAAATGGCCGCGAACACGTGGAAGTCCCGAAATGGCGGCCGTGCATACAGTTCCCATAGCGTTTCTGCGTTTTTTCCGCGAAAATGCCCATCAAGCAGGGAGGTAAATTACTCTCAATTTAGAGTCAGGGTGGCCTGTTAGTACTTAGCAAGCATTGCATGGAGAATGCTTGTAAAGTCCCGAACTGCATTTTAATCCACAAGTCTTTGCTGAAACTGTTCTTTTTGTTACAATTATTTATTCCCAGTTTGAGTACACCTCTCAGGTGACTGATACAGAGAGTTTCAGGGTCAGAGGGGAATCCCACTCAGGACCTCAGCCCAACTCGGCTAGTTTTAAAGGGAGAGCTCCTCGCTTACAATCAATCTGAGACTGATATGGACTCTGGTTTGCATGGTAAGAGGGTACAGCCTTTTCATAACCTCAGCTCGAAGCGAAGGCTAAATTACAGGATTAGAGGGGATCCCCTCCCATATACAGCACCTGACACTAAATTTCTTTTAGTGGGCGCGACCCTCCCCTAACCTTAGCCCGAGGCTGATATTGATGCAAATTGCAGGTTTGGAGTGTGACCCACTCTCATTTACAGAGCCAGACACTGACATAGACACTGAGTTTATTATTAGAGGGTACGGTCCTCTCACACTGTCAGCCTGAGACTGGCAGGGATACTGTTTACATTATTTGAAAGTGCGGCTCTCTCATACACTCAACCTGCTACTGAGCTCCCCTCATGTGCACAGGGCAAGATAACGACTTATACTGTTTCCTCAGTTTACCACTGGCATGACAGCTTCTTACAATACTGGATTCTGCTCCCCCTCTTTGAGGGCGAACCCGTCACTTGACACTGCCCAACAGGGTTATTTTCGTTATAGAGGTGCTACCTGATCGGACATGGTATTGCAGGTTTAAACTAACTTTCACTGTTAGGTGAGCCCCAGTTATTACAAGTGTGTAGGGTTTGGTATAACCGGCGTTGTACCAAACAAGCAAGCGCACTCTGGTTATGTTTTCACACACTGTTTTTGACACACTGACCAGACAGATTTTTCACCTAACAAGGGTAACGTGATTTTGAGGCCTTCATAGAGCAAACATTCACTGCCTTACTCAGACGGCGGGAATGGGGAAGTCCCACACAACCAGTCTGCAGATACACCGTATGCATTGGTCGAAAGACCAGAGTCCCAGGTTGATTTTGGGTTCCCTGGCTGTGAGCAGTCCTGGGATAGGTGGCAGGAGTGCCCCTACTGCTCTGAGAATGTATCTGGAGAACACGATTAGGATATAGAGAACCCTCCTTCTATACACTTGTCCCCGCACGGGAGCCGTCCTGGTTTTTGATTTTTGCTCATCCACCTATTCCGGTATCGACAAGGATGATGGTTTGGACTCTATGGGGGAACCCTGTTTGACATCGAATCCCACACGGACGTCTCGAAGTCGGGACGCACCCTCCCACTGGAGTAATGCCCAGGAACAGTGTCGGGTTCGGATCTGACTACCCGACGTTCTCAACCTGGACAGCCCCTGCTTCGGACGGTGGAAGCTATGCCCCTTGTTTCACTATCTCTATTCTCAGCGAAGGGATTTTTTGTTTTATCTATGTATTAGAGAACGCTATGAGTTCTCAGGTCGCTAGTCGAAGATGGGGGATATTCCTTCGTAGGGATGCCTAGACTTCAGGCCTTGAATGCAAAAGCCTGGGTCCCTTGACCTATGACCCACTCTTGGAGATAACATGTCCTGACAGTTAAGGATACAGAGTGTGCCTTACTCTATTATACCCTATCTTAGATGTGACGTGCATACCATAAGCCCCTCCACTGGCTTTTGACAAGGCTGGATTGGAACAGGATCGTACAAGCAGTTATTTGGATTATTCCACTCTCGCCCTGTAACGGACCGTTTTGCACAAAAGGGGAAAAAACAGTTTAGGCGATCGGCCCCCTTTCCAGAGATACAGGCACAGCTACTGCAGTACACCAAACTCCCGAACTGGATACAAAATAGCACTCCAACTCCCGAACTGGAACCTCCCAAATAGCTGCTAGCAGACGAACAGGAAAAGCACCCAAGCGGCTTACACTCCTGGCAATCAGTCTCTAACAGCATACAGTGAATCCCCCCAAGAACGAGACAAGGCTCTGTGTGTTGAGGGTCAAGCAGTGGTCTGAGGTGCTGGCACACCCAGCCTGGTTTTTATTACAGTCTTACAAATACAGGACCGCCCACAGGGAGGTATAAAACAACCAATCACATCACAGTTACATCCCACATATTCCCTCCCCTTATCCTGAGAGGAAACTCAATTACACATACAGTTAAAACATACTTTCTACCCAACTTTCATAACTCTAAAACCATACATCACATTCACATAAAATTACATATTCACAATCAATCCATTCAGGGGAACAACATATTAAAAAATGGCACAAATCAGACAAGGGGTTCAAAAGTTAGTAAAAAGTCCTTGTGACTAAATGAAGCATGGCTTTCTGGCCCAAACCAGTTTCAGAGTCTTCTATCCTGGAGAGTAATTCAATTATCTCCCAGGACAGACACAAGACTCCATTAAGCACATGGTTGCAAAAAGACACAAAACACTTTAAAATACATAAAGTCACATTTTATACATAAAACACAGACATTTCACATATCCCCAGATAGCTCAGGTCTGAGCGCACATTATTAAGTGAATGGCGCTCAGACCACACGAATACAGTTTAATCGCCATGGAGCCAAAGTCTTTACAGTCAGTTTCATACAAATGGGCTCCATGGGATTCCTATCTGGGGTATAACACATTCAAACAAATCTACTGAACCCCAGGCAGAAAAGCATGAATACAGCTTTTCTGTAGGCAAAAATAAAGTCTTTTAAAAGGGGGCCATAGTCCAAAGGCAGCAGGCGAGCAACCAGGCTTCTCCAATACAATGTGGCGAGATTGGTCTCGTCACATCTCTCCCCTTTTCCAAACAGACTAACAGGGTATCTGACCTCCTGCCGGTCAGTGCCCTTGTTAGTCCAGCAGCCCACCCACAACAAATAATCAACAGCACAGCCCACCCACAATAAATGGTTACTACACCTTGGTAAAGGGAAAGCTTGTCCATGTCCAGGTGCCTCACCACGGCTGTGCTGGGTACGGGTACGCTGACTTGGTGGGTTGCTGCGTGGGCAGAGACCAGCGGCACTCTGCCCTGTTGCCAGCGCTACTGGGAGGGTAGCCTGGTGGAAGCCTGGTTGTTGGAGGGGGAGACCGACTGTCTCCCCTTTAAATACACCGCTCTGTTGCTGCTGCTGGAGACTGACTGTCTCCCCTTTAGATGCACAGTCCTGCTGCTGGAGACCGACCGTCTCCCCTTTGGTTACCCATCTCTGCTGCTGGAGGGGGAGACCGACTGTCCCCCCTTTGGCTAAACAGCCCTGTCGCTGGGGGGCAGGACCGACCGTCCCTACCCCCTGTGCTGGCAGTGTAGAGACTACGGTCCCATCTGCACGGTTGTGGGGCTTACTGTCTCCCCTTTGTACATTAAGCTGCCGCTGGGGAGGGGGGGTAACAAGCTCCTCTCCCATACATACTTCCAGCTGTGGGGGAGGGAGACCGACTGTCTCTGCTCCCAATACAGAGTCCTGCTGCTGGGGAAAGGAGACTGGGCTCTCTATTCCCGGTAGGACACTCTGCCGCTGGGGAATGGAGAGTGGGCTCCCAATTCCCAATGATCTGTGCTGCCGCTGGGGAATGGAGACTGGGCTCCCAATTCCCAAAGCATCATACTGCCGCTGGGGAATGGAGACTGGGCTCCCAATTCCCAAAAAATCACGCTGCCGCTGGGGAGGGAGGACACTGCTCTCCTCTCCCTGGACTTCACACTGCCTCCCCGGCATATCACTTGGCTGCTGGGGGGCAGGAACAACTACCTCTGCCCCCTGTAACTCAGCCTGCCGCTGGGGAGGGAGGACGCTGCTCTCCTCTCCCTGCACTTTACACTGCCTTCCCGGCATATCACTCTGCTGCTGGGGGCAGGAACAACTACCTCTGCCCCCTGTAACTCAGCCTGCCGCTGGGGAGGGAGGACGCTGCTCTCCTCTCCCTGCACTTTACGCTGCCTTCCCGGCATATCACTCTGCTGCTGGGGGGCAGGAACAACTACCTCTGCCCCCTGTAACTCAGCCTGCCGCTGGGGAGGGAGGACGCTGCTCTCCTCCCCCTGCACTTTACACTGCCGCTGGGGAATGGAGACTGGGCTCCCAATTCCCAATAAATCACACGGCCGCTGGGGAATGGAGACTGGGCTCCCAATTCCCTGCAGGACTGGTGGAGAGACCTCGGTCCCATCTCTACCGGCCACCTGGGGTTCTTCCCAGTAAAACTGTACCATCTCGTCCCCTCTGAATGGGTCTGGCTCTGGGTCTGTCATGCTGCTCTCCCGCTGCGCCTTCTCACTGTATTGGAACAGCTGCTGGTAGCCCTGTTCTAGCTCCATCTCCCGGGTTACCAGGTGGACCAGGCCTTGCTCAATTTCGTGAGTGTCGTCCCAGTCATACCTGCTCTCCCT